CGGGAAAATACAAACTGTCAACTGGTAATGAAACTCTTTTTTTTTTAGAATATGAATGGCGTAAATTTGTTGTTATTTTCAAACAAACCAACATTTTGGGAGATCTGTGCGGAGAGTTAGAGTGAACGGATGTACACACGCGCTCTTGACCACACGCTATCTCTTGAACCTTTTTTTACATCACTATTCATCGCGTTTATTGCTTCCGACCCGCACGAGTTACCATTGCAGGCACCCAAACTTACCTAATAACTAACTACTCAACTTCCTACTAACTAACCGTCAACTTTCCTATAACGCGATCAATTTGTTCATACAAATTGATCGCGTCATATGTAAAACGCTTTAAAAGAAACTGTGAATTAATAATAAGTAAAGAGATTATTCGCTCCACTTTACACTAAGTTTCATAATTTCAGTTAAATAGTTTAATGTTTTTTGATATTGCTTTTTTATTATATAATTTCTGTTTTGTTGTGCACGTAAACCCGTTGTTATAATTACTGCCTCCTCTATTTAGGTCTGCAGGAAGAAATTTGTTTTCCTTGTTAGTAAATGTGTTTTTGTTTTTTTTCTGTGCAATAAACGATTAAATAAAAAAATAAATACGTTTTGAACAACTGCTTTGAATGCAAAATTTTGTACGTAGTTAAAAACAAACATCACTTTTCAAGTTCTTAGGTTTTCGCGATTGTTACACATAGGAAATGAAACTATTTTTTCCAGATTTAAATCGCGTATATTTGTTTTATTAAATAAACCAACGGCCCGAAAAGGGCCAAAAAGGTTGGTTTGTTTGAAAAAACAAATATACGCGATTTAAATCCGGAAAAATAGTTTGATTTCCTAAAGATCATCTGTTTTTATTCAATTAAAAGATACTTTTATTAATTATCAACTAAAGCCTCCCTACGAATGTCATATGGGAGCTTTTAACGTTAATATTTTGGATATTTCTGGTTTTATTTTTTAAAGGTTATTGTTGTCGTTTTACTTATTAGGCATCGTACATTTGATATCAATTTAATGGGTTCTAGACACCTCTTATAAAATTTACTAAATTAATATTGTATATGTACATACAGGGTTCCGTAAATACAAGATGTATAAAAAATCCTTTAAACTGATATCGAATTTATTTGTAGTAGGTTTGTGTTTTCTAGTGTAATACTCCAATAAAAATGCACAAATTTAACGTGTAGTTACGCTATAGCGTTTAATGAATAGTGAAAGATCAGTTGTGAATGTCAGAATCAAATGAAATGTTGAATATTGCATAAGATCGCTACCAATCTACAGCCTCCGCAGCCGAACGGTTACCACATTGGCCTGTCACGGAAAAGGTCTCGTGTTCGATTCTAGTGCCGGGAGAAATATTTCTATGGCCTACATTTACAGGATTTTCCTAGTGTGGGGCTCAAAAAAAAATATCGATGCCATAACAATTTTTCAAACACGTGTTTAGTTTGCTATTGTTTTGTCTTTGATAGACGACTCTATTCTCGAACATAATGACGGAGATATTAAGTTATTCGGTTTGTTAATGATTTTTAATTCGAATATTCTTACAATCCAATAGCGTATATCGGTGCTGTTTTGTCATGCTTATTTCGACCGTGATGTGATGCAGTGATCAGAATTAAGAGAGTTAATTTAGCGAAACTAAAGATTATTTTCTAACAAACAAACAACAAATCCCGGAAATTCTCTGAACTGATTATATTACAATATGCGTATTTTTTATTGAAATTTGAGTCCATAGGCGACAACTAATTATTTCTTATTTCTTTTTTATAATATCAAGTGACGGGTCGAACAAATCGTGCGCCTTATGGTACGCTACACGTCTGTCCATAACAGTTGCAGTATCACTCAGAGCTTTAAACCGCAAAGATCTGCCACTGCGCCCGTCACCACGAGACGTAAGCTGACAATTCCCATATTCCTGTAATGTCACCAGCGCCCTTACCCTTGAAAACTGGAGCACTGTAATGCTGACATTACTGCTTGGCGGCAGAAATAGGTAAGGCGGCAGTACTATCCTAGACGAACTCCGTCACAAGGGCTCTACTCCTGCTAAACCAAACAATACCCAAGTCAAATCAAAGTACCATTTATTCCATAGGTATAAACTTATTTAGTTTGCACTTGAAAACGTTACTTTTGTACTGCTCGTTCACTATGCTGACTTCCGTGAGAAGAATGAGCAAGAAACTCTATTGTTCTCTTCGAACAAACTGAAATGCTGTGGAATACATTTTGAACTTTGAATTTTGAACATTTTTTTTACAAATTTTGAATCAAATTTGTGTGGAATTTAAAGCTATGTCGTCTATCCATACATCTTTACACGTAGTATTCAATTTCATTATTTTCCCTTAAAATTTAAACTGAACTCTATGCCATTTTCTTTATAGATGTCAAGTTCAGATCCACGAGTCAGGACAGCATTCTGCTCAAGTCATTTCCATATCCCCCACGCGTTTAAATTACGTTTTACCAGTAGGGCGATACTTGCGCGAGATCGACATAAAACGCGAGATCTCTATGCGAGAATAACTCCTGGGCCCCTAGCTATCACTGATCTAATGGGGACAGATTATACTTATAGCCTCAATTTTGGACACAAAAGTTATAGGTAAGTATACAGGTTGTCCCACGGCTATGCCACATGGAGGGAAAGTACCTTAAACACCATTGATAGAACATTTTACTGAAAGAAGACTTCATTTTGATTTTAAAAACAATTCGAACTGCATTCAAAGATTTTTAAATAATCGCTTCTCTGAACCGGAAGTCGAACCCGCAAAATGTGAAAAAAAAACCACCTGTACTTTTTGTTATACTGATCGAAAGACTCAATCATAAGGATTGTTTTCTTCTAAATGCATATAACATTGGAAGTGTCATATTTTATTCCAAATTAATTGGTCATGCTCACGTTGCAAAATCGAATACGTTAATATTAGCTATCATTATGTTCTGAATCTATGGTTTATACCATACCTCACCCATTTCCCTCCTCACTTAGGTACTTAATGCATGGTCGCCTAGTCACGAACAAGCTGTGACGTTGCTGACCTCTTTCGTCATCATTTCACCTTTTTATCATCCCTTTCACAGGTTTCTGGCCACTTATTTTTTAATTTTGGAATTGTTATCCAATTCCCGTTTCTTTAACTATTCTTACGTTTGCTATACATGTCGTCACTACCATCAAAGTTCTTGAAAATAAATATGATGTTTCTAACAAAGCTATAATTAATGGCATTGTACAGCGACGAAGGTAGTAGAACACAGGTAATTAATAATAGTCAATGTAACGGGAGTATAGTTTAATTATTATAATTTCTCTTCTAGGTAATGTAATATGTTCTATTCTAAATACTACATTATGTAATTTTTTTCAATAATTAATTTTTGGTTGTATACAATGGTTGTACCTATACTTCAAATTTGACATAAATGATATACTTTATTATATAGAAGGTTAACAGACGTCAAAAATGCAATGAAATCACCAATTAATGAGAGTAATTTGCCTCAACTCTATTTATAATATTATTTGGTTATATATTTTGGGTATAATTAAGGAAAAAATATTGTTGTTTGTTGGGGATGCACATGTATTATTGTAGCAGGATTAATCCGCATACAATAACTATGTTTATTTTTTTCAAATATGTTGTTGTTAATTAATTTATTTTGTTTATATATTTTATATAATGCTGGCTACGCTTCTAGTAAGTTTGATATCGCTTACATATTACTAATTTATATATATTAGATTTTTGATATATGCTTTAGATTTTTTACCGTTTTTTTTGTTTCTTTTTATTTGCTTCTTAAATAACTATCATGTCAATAGCCGTTTGTCTTAAAAATTTATTTAAGTTTTTTTTTATATATATTACCTGTAACCCTAAAGGATAAGCTTGCCTTATTCATAGCTATAGTAAAGCTATCTTATAATTTATAACAAAAAAGACTCTTGCATGTATATTTTGCTTCTTTTATCATTCTTTGTTTAGACTTACTATTTCTATAACAATAATATAATCCCCATATACTTTTTTAAATATTTTTCTATTTGCTAATAAAGAGATTAAATATATTGTAACTCAGTATTCAGTAATCATGCCGACAGTCAAGGAGGGTTATGCAATATGTATATCTTTTTTTGGTTTTTTTAAATATTTGCTTAAAGATTAATAAATAACTTCACTTTGCTTAATATTATAATAAAAATTATTTTTAAATGTATTCATATTATAAGGTACTATACCTACCTACAAACTTCATTCATAAATATATTTCATCTACTCTCTGTTATATAATAATGAAACTCTATATTTTAACTTTAAGTTCTACTATCGAACAGGTCGGTGAAATGTTCGATTTTGGAATCGCTCTGTGGTGTCGATAATTTATTTGCCTGTTACCCTAAAAAGAATGACAATAATGGGGACATGTATTATGACAATCACCAGTGGTGTAATTCTTAACGCACAGTCAATACAAATAAATAATAACAATAATAAAGCACACGCTCATAGCCCCGCGTAAGGGAAACCCTGTATCGCGAGTGCAATGGACACACCCATAGATAACCACAAATTACACCGAAACTCATGAGAGAAGTAACGGCCCAGGAATCGAAACCTGGGGCCTCTACGTGGCAGACCAACACGGTTTCCGTTTAGTCACGGAGGCAGTTCGAAGATAATTCAGTAACAATGCTAGAGGCAGCTGCAGTAACTCGGAGCATCTATATTTAAAAAAAAAACCTATTAAATTTATCCTCAAAGCATTGACTTACAATTATATGAACGTCGGGTCCGCGCTAAAAAGTGTCCGAACTTATAGAGCGTTAAAATCGTATACATAGCGTCATTCACGCTTTAGTCTTCGTTTGTTCGACTGACAGCGAAGCAAGTAAAATTAGACAGTACTGCGATGACATTACAATTTATATTCAACGTTTTAGCTTTTTCATATTCCTTTACATGTCACTACGTTTAAATAGGTTGACTTGGGACATTTTTTTCGTGGTTTTTGTATTGGAACCGTCGTCCATTTATTTGTAAGTCAATGTATTAAATTTGTCCTCAAAGCTATTTGAAATTGATATCACATAAAAGAGGAATATACTCCTTGTGGTTACTTTTCACTCGACCTGAAAATTGTATTGTGAAGCACTTATTTCCAGGTGGTGAAACACTTGTTGCATGACGTCAGTATACTGTTCGTTTACTGGTGACGTTCAAGAAAAAAGCCTCCATTTTAGGATCAACGCATATCGAACTTAGAGCGCTTTTGTAATAAGAACACACGCGCTTGCTTTGGAATTGTTGATCCTATATCAGTCTAAATGGCTCAAGGGTGAAGGGCAGACAGATTATCGGGAGTCTAAGCGTAAACACCACAGAGCGAGTCTTACATTTTTCTTCGGTATGTTTGGTAAACTTACACAGTTGAAGCGACGATATTATACGATATACAGTGTAGGTTTATATATGAAGCAGGATAAAAAAAACCGTAAAGAAAAACTGAACTGGGCTATAGATTACAGATAGTTTAACCAATGTATGGACCATTGGATGTGGTGCTTGTCCGTCAATAGTAGGTGGGCATTTAAACGAATATCACTCACTTTAAAAAGTTTACTTTTTAATATAGTGCTCGTTCATAATTTTAATCAAAATTTTCAAGGTCAAAAATATTTTTTTTGAGTGTCAAGTTCCACCATCTGTGTTACCTAAACAAATTGGTTCGACTTAAACTTAAGTAAGTACTTAACTGAAAATCTTTAGTGGTGTACTTTCGTTTCTCGCTGTCAACATAATGTTGCAATCTTCTTTAACGTAAAGTCTATAAGGGTCAAACTAAAAAGGGTTTAAGTGCAATGTCGCTTTTTTAAATAAGTACAACGTTTTAAAGTTTATAAGCAGGTTTTTCCACCTCTAGTCAATAGATTGAACTTTCGGTGGACGGTGGCTCGCCACTCACTGGATGGATAGTTAATTTTTGTGTGCTTCCAAGGTAAGGCTTTGTGAGTGACTAGAGACGTTAAGACCAGTGCTGCCTTTTAGTATTCCGCCACACGAGCATATTGCTCTAGCGCTCCACTCTGGAAGGCTCAGTCAGGGGTGGGGGTAGATTGTATTTCCCCCGGAGATCTCGGGTCCGTGGTGTCGCCACACACCAACAGCTCGCCACAAGCTGCCCTGCGGGTGTATTGGTATCATTAATTTTGCAAAGTCTCGTCGGTTATAAATGTTTAGCGATATCATGCGATATCTTGATTCTAACTTTGTATTTCGAACGTTAAGAATCAGAAAAATAATATTGAGATAGGTTCCATACAGTTGTCAACAGAACATGCAAGACAGATTTGTGGGCAACACTACTTGATGATATTAGCCCCGTATAAATCCCATAGTCCCCAAGACGGCGCTCACGGGAACAGTTAGGGTAACCCTGTTCCATGCCTCTAAAGCAACAATGTGGGGGATAGTGTACAATATGTTATCCTTAAAAGTGGACGCTACTGAACGCTTGGGGCAAAGAATATACGTGCATAAATTATTAGTGTCCCGAACTTCCCAAAGGAAATATTTTCGAACCTTTTTGGTAAACCCTGTATATATACTTTTGAGTTTATCAGTGATAACACTTTTCCCTATGAAACTACTGACACGAACCAATTAATTTTAAAATCGCCATAAAATTTGCTAGAATATTCTCCTAAAACAGTCGAAAAGCTGACGAAATTTTTGCTACGGAAATTACTTGACTAATTTATTATTATTTAGTTTGCAGGGGCGATAAGTGGCCGATCAAGTTGTAATCGTTCTCGTTCAGCACTCCGCGATTCCTGCTAGTCCACGGATCAAGAGAAAAAGTCGTCGAAAGCCTTGTAGATCATCAATATCCAGTAAAAAAATATGCCTCAGTAGAACAGAGACCCCAAATGGAGTCCATAGAGCATTGTCAGTTATTTTGCTTCCGTTTAGGAGGACGCCTCCTTTGCCTTTATAAAATAAGTCAGCAGGTCAATGGGCAGCGGGAAAACGATCGTTGAGTTCTTTTCGGCCGAAATTGTGTTCAAAGTCTGCGAAAACAAATATAAATGTTACATAGTCTTTAGTTAATTTAACTTTATTACAATATACACTCCCGGACACATAATTCGAGCCAACTTGCATTTTTATACATATAAAAATATAGTTCTCGCCGAAGAAAAACTTTTCAAATTCAAATTTTCAATAAGGACTTAAGGAAATGACGTTTAGTATACCAGTTTCAAAGTTGTATAATAAGTTCTTGATCAATCAAGCATTGTTTAAGCTCAATGGCTAAGAGCATTTAATATTGTGTAAATGCAAGGTACCTATTATGAGTCCGAAAGCATATTTAAGGATTTGAATAAAGATTAGAAAAGAACTCGAAAACTGAAAGTTATTTATAAATCGTTTGAAACGAATTAACCCTACGATATTGTATCTTCTCTAACATACTGTTTAATTTACAAATATAATCTTTAATATTGTGAAATTTTTATTGGTTGAAGACACATTATTCATTTGCGTTTGAAGGTGAATAACATCCAAATTTCCTATTTGGTTACCTACCTCAATGTTGGATATTGGCAGACTTACCTGCAGATAACGTAGTTGCAATGCAGCAGGGCTGTCGCCGATGACCTCAGAGGCCTCGCGGAGAGCTCGGGAGGCTTTCTGTTCACCCTCAGCAGCAATGACCTTGGCCCTAGCCTCTCGGGCTGCCTCAGCTTCCGCTGCCATCGCACGTTGCAGCTGTACTGGCAGGCGCACGTCTTTTCTGTCAGTGGAACAGTAAAGTATGGAGTAAGTGTACGAAATAGTACTAAAGCGAGAAATCTACATTGGAGTTATGTCACTGTTAATACTATGGATTATATGTTTGGGACCAAATATTTTGCAAAATAAACAAATAGAATTCATTGTCTGCAAATCCAAGGAGTCGAGTTTAAGATAAAATTGAGAATTAAACATCTTTAAAGATTATAAAAGCAACTTGTGTATTCATCTTGTGTTGTGTCCGGAATATGATAACAATTTCAATCAAATAACAGAGTATGTGCCGGTTGCCCTATTTCTCACGGCCTGAGTCGTACGGTACCTACTACTTACCTTAGTTTCAATTAGATTTTAATTCTATGATGTCAATTGTTTGTTTTTTTTGGTGTAAATTAGGCGGACCTTTGGCCTCTAATCTGAGTCGATACCTAATGCTACGACGTGGCATGTCTAAAAATTATCTTTTCACTCTAGCCTTGAATGGTCTTAAATTGCTTAGCGTAGCTTTCGGAAAACACTGATGCGGGTTGTGTAGTTCACTCTTTTGTAGTTCGTATAAGGAAGGATAGAGTAAAGCGCCGACCGTAGACGGTCATAACAAACGGAGGGATGAAACGAACTTGTACTGTTCCAGCGTATATTCTTCGCAATGTTTCGGATGGAAAACCCACATATGGGCCAATTTTTTACGGTGATTGAGACTTCAAAGTTTCGGCTTTACAAAAGAGTCTTTGTCAATCACTCTTTTTAATTTTCCCTTCACCAAGTCTAAGGTAACTGAATGGTATCAGGCAAAGGGATACTAGAGATAACAGCAGTCATCCATACATGATCGAAATTATGCTTGAAGAGGTTGCTCAGTTTTTTGGGAGCACTTGTTGAGTTGAGTTCATCTACTCCACGTTACTTATCGACACACGTACATATCACTAAAAGTCAGAGTGAGGAGGAGGGGACCTCCGTTTCGTAAAGATAAACATAACTTGCCACCACTGTGCTGTTATCTCCATACCTTAAGGTATCAGCAACAGGTCGCTGATGCACAGAGTAGCAGAGACGACACATCATTGAGGTACATCGATGTACATTCTCTGCGCGAGTAGATGATAGATAAACAGTTTAATGACTGCTTACAAGCACATATTCCTGGTACCTCTCGTACCGAGAACGGAGGAATAAAGACAGATACAGATTTCAACAGACAGTGATTGGAAGATCCTAGTAGGGCCAAAACCAATAATCGTGTGGACGGTTTAAATCAATTGTGAGCAAAAATTTCAAGCAATAGACTGTGTCACAAGATAACAAGGGTAGAGCAACTCAACAGTTGAGCAAGATCTAGCGATAAAGCCTTGACTCGTCCCTTTTTTCCAGTCAGTCGACTTTTTTCGACATGGCAACGACCGATCCCGGCGGAAAGCGTTAAAGTACCTCAAATGCTACAATGGAGCATCCCGGGATTTTTAAGCGAGTATGCGGGGCAGACTTTCAGTGGTGGATAGTTACGGCCAGCGGAGCACCTTGCTTGGAATCCCGCTACCCTCCGGGACCAGGTTCTCAGCATAATATTTGCGATTAAAAAAATATGCAAACTTTCGGACGTCGAAACAGTTAGATTGGTTTACTTCAGCTACTTTCACAGTTTAATCACACACTTTGCTTTGGGGTAATGCCGTCGATATTAATCCGCAGAATCTGTCCTGCAGAAATGTGTGGTTAGGGCAATTGACAACCTGGCGCTCAGAGCGTCTTTGAAAGATAAGTTTAAAGATATTGACATTCTTACATTCACGTCACAGTACATTTATGAAAATGTAATTTATGATAAAAAATATTAATTTTTGTTTATATAAAATAGCATTAATACGACGCATAAAAATAAATTAGCTGTTTTTGACAGTCTTCACAAAGTCTCAAATTTATTTAAGGGGCAATGTATACGCCTTTTTAATAAGATCCTTGAAGATTGATATTCAAAATTTGCCATTAACGAGGTTTAAAACTATAGTGAAAGAAAACTTTTATACTAAAGGTTATTTATTATACAGCTACTGCGTACTTGGATGACAAAAATCAATGGTATTGACCCGTTTAGCTCTTGCAGCCGCCGTAGCATGGCTACGCATGTTGGCCGCGACGCGCGCGATAAAATTGAAATAAGCGCGCGCTATAGGCTGTCTCAATCAAATTTAAATACATAGCCAATAGGGCGTGCTTATTTCAGTTTATTCGCGCGTGTCGCGACTATCATGCATAGTCATTAAATTAAGTAAATATCGTAATGAAAAATGTGTATTTACAAAGAGCAACTCGTAGAGTTTCTTGCTCATTCTTCTTAGGGGAATATGTAGTGTTTAAACAATATAAAGATTTCAAGTGTAATTTGCTTACCTATGGAATAAAGATTATTTGACTTTGGCTTTCGCTAACAATAAGGAAGCACCGAGATCTGCTATTCTAGTGCAAACAAGAAAACATATTGTATTACTAGTTCTCGAAATTGGTTTGGAGGGTGACATACATTATACGCTGATGACACCTGCTTATTGTACTACGGTGAAAATACCGAATACTGCTAAAAACAAAAAAGTCTCAAATGTTTCAACTTTAACTAATAACAAAGAAGTCATAAGTAGAGTGGACTCTGAAAATTTTATTTTTAACTTTTTATTTATTTTTTTCAATAGTATACATTTTACAGAAGTCTATCTCCCGTCAAACTGGGAACACTTTGTTGGCGAGCACGCTCTTACACAATTATAGATCTGCTTAATGATTAACTAAGTACCTAGCAGTGAGAAGGTACCTCTCATGTAGATCAGACTTACTTATGAAACAAAACAACATTAACGGTCATAATAATATATTAAAAAAAAAAAATATTTTAACTTTTATAATTTACTTACTAAATGCAGGACTTTTTCTTAAGAAACCCATATCATTAATAATATTTAGGTCTTATATTGGATAGCCATTTAATATCGACACATCAAGTCGAAAAAATTCGGAAAAAAATATTATCTCTCATGGGTTTCTCTCCATGGCATAACTAAATGGTTTCCGTTAAGTGTAATATAATATATAAGTCAAATCACACCATGAGCACCTTATCGAAGTAGTAGTAGTAGTGAAGAATGTATTTTGGCAGACATTCCCATGTCTGCTTCCAAAATACATTTAAAAACATTACAAACCATTTTCTGACAACTACCGTAACCTTACACGAGAATACAAAATTAATAACTATTTCCCAAATGTACAATTATAACACATGTACATTAATTAGAAAAATTTGATACAAAAATGTTCACTCGTAAATAAATTTTAGTAAAAAACTACATATTCAAAAGCGTATAACCAGGCGGGCTAATGATATATATTTGCAAATACCGCGGACGAATTATGGAAAGAAAAACATGATGTACGACGGAGCTCAAATATGCAACAAATTAGCAAAAGTTTGGTGTGTCACCATGGTACTTGATGTGTACAATATTTGATTAGGGCCTTGCTTTTGTTTTTTCTTAGAACACGAAATTTTATGTGTATACCTTCATTTGAATATTTTGTCAAAACGTACTCTCTGTAGAAATTTTATGATACCTCGTATTTCTCGCTAAGTGAATTTGTATTCTTTTGAGAAATAAATATCTTAAACCATATTATTACATTTTACACTTTAATCCAACCGAATCCCCTAGTGGATTCTGTATACGTCATTAAGGATCAATGTGGACAACGAATCCACATACACCCCTCAGGAGATCGTAGCAGGGGATTCAAATGGACGGAGGGATATTTCTTTGTGTTTTTTGTGGTTTTTGTGTTTTTATTGATGAATGCCATCCTAGTAAAAACATTGAGATATTCAATAAAAGATAGCCAGGAAATCAAGATGAAGATGCCATGAGTTTATGAATAGCTGTAGGTGAGAGGTAAAATACCTTAAGTCTATATTTTGAAATTTAGATGTTTTAAACCGACTTCAAAAAAGAGAAGGTTCTTTCTCAATTCGACTTTATTTTTTTGTATATCGTCGCTATACTACGAAAACCAATTATCTGGAATTTACACAGAAAATTACTTAATTGAGGATAACGCGACAAAATTGCTGTAAAATGCAAACATTTTCAAATTTCAGTAAAACATAAAATGTAGAATCACCGTTACAAATTAACGTGGGATGATATTTGTGAAAATAAAACAATTTTAGACACAGTGAAATTTTAATTGCATTTATTTCAAAGTTGATATTTTGTGAAATAATTGTTTTTCCCAGTATAACATCGATATATGTTACGCGGTAACCGGCATTTGTGAACCGATTTTGATGATTCTTTTTTGTTGGAAAGAGGGTACCTCAGTATTGGTCCCATTTAAATTTGAAGAAAATATTCCACCTCTATGGGTGGCAAACTAGGTATGATCCCGGTTTTGCACACTATAAAACTAAACCAAACTAAAACTTAACAAATAGATGTAATTCCACGAACTTTAATAACTCCACAAGGATTTTAGAGAATTTGCATGAAAGAATGACACAACTGTACCATACAAAGCGAAAATGGTGGACTGAGTTCAGGTACGACTGTCGAGACCTATTGTTGGCACGCGTGCGACGCTATTTAACCACTTCTACTGTATTTATTGTCTTGTGTTAAATTCCATATAAGCTTTTTGCTTGCATCGATTCACTACAGCGCGTCTGCGGCGCGAGTACGCGTAGATTACGCGCGTTTACGGCGTAATCTACGTCGTATAAAATACGCCGCGTGTAAAGGCTCTTATTAAGATTTTAACGCTCTGTAGTAAAAAATATTATTTGGCATTTAAGGTTTGTTTACTTCTCACCTGCAAATGGTTTAGTTCGGTTTTCGAAATTTCTAACTCGGAAATGATTAAATCTACATTACGCGTGTTAATGGAATTGACAAACATCACTTCTCAGAAACTATACATGTGGTAATTACACGTCCGATAAAAGTAGAGTCTATTAATATT